AAATTTATCAAAATTAAGCCTTTTTTTGACTGGCATTTATTCAATAAATATCAACTAAAAATTTTTTTAAATTACAATATATTTCTATAAATTATTTTCATACTTGCTTATAAAAAATAATTTTTTATAGCTCTTTAACCAGGGTAGCCACCCAGCCCGCCACATTTAGCACGTGATTCCACAAAATATTACTATGTTAACACGCTTTGTGACCTTAGAAAATTTTGTTTCCGTCATCCTAAAGAAAATAATGCCAAATTTTCGTAAATTTTTAGCAATTTCTTATTAAGTTATAGGCGAAAAACATGTCCGCCATTACTTTCCGTGTTGACTGTAACAGTACGTATATGCAAGAAGTAAATCCAAAGAATAAAATCTATATATGACTCAGTAATTCGGCATCGATTTGATATCAAAAAGTAATTACATGTATATCGATATGCAACAATCATGTGAAATATGATTCGTTTGTTAATTACTTGCCTAAACTTCATATTAAATCAAGACTTTGAAGAAATATAAATACGGTGAGTCATCAAAAAGGTCCAGCCTGAATTATTTTCGCATTTTGTGGTAATTATTTTTTAGTTTTTGATACTTAAAATAGAAAAGGATCCTATCATACACAAGTTTTCCCATATGGTGACAATGCAACACCACATAGGTCAAAGGTTGCAATAGCCGTTCGCGAAGCTTCTGGAATCAAGACATTAGTTTAGCCTTTATAAAGTCCCGATTTGAACCCCATAGAAAATTTATGGCATGAAGTGTTCGCCGACGATCCCCTGCACCGTATCTCGAAAAATACGTGAAAGTGGCTTGGAAGGATCTTGTTCTCGAATACTATCGAAAGTTTATTATAATATGCCCGCTCGAATTGCCACGGTAATACTAGTAAACTTGGAATATTTAAACTTTAATTTTATTTATTTATTATTCTGCTTTTGAGTTGTCTAATTTAATGGCCGGAACTTTATGATGACCCACTATAAATGCAAATACTAAAGCAAATTATATTTCTAAATTTGCTCGATAGTTTGATTTTGCAACATCATTTATTTCATTATTAGTTTGGCTGATATGATTTATTTTTTTTGAAAAGATGCTATTGAATTCTTTAAAAAGATTGTTAAAAATACAAGTACTATAATTGTCTAAATGTGGCTGAAATCAATATAAGATTTTGTTACGTACAAAAAAAATGGTATTCAAGCATTTACAAAAATGATTTCATTTTGATGGCATTCAATGAAAGTTACATTTACGTACGTATATTTAGCCAAATAATTGAAAATGATTTCTATTCCGAAATAATCGGATCTGATTTTATTTTTAAATGACATTGACATTCCCATATAGATGCTTACTTGCCATATGACCATTTAGTATTTACTTAACGATAAGAATACTACAGCTACAAAGTAGAATGATGTCATTTGTCGTCATAACACATGGCGAAAACGTGCAACCCAAACGATTTTGTAGTAAACATAGTACATGTACATGTTTCTGAGTAAACATTGGCAATATTTCTTGCGTTATTGTTTTTCTACAAACCGGAAAGTGAATATCAGTGTGAGAAAAGATCTCGCATAATCTAACGATAAGTTCCAATTAATCGTTACATCCGCCTTTGGAATTTTTCGAAATCGAGTATATTTTTTTTATTGTTTCTCCATATTTGGTTCACGGATTTATCGTTGTTAATACAGAAAGATAATGTCAAAAAAAGGTAATACGTATGAATTGACGATCACGTTCTTACGTAGTAAAATCCGACTCGGAACTGATTATTCTTTGTTGTGCTATAATTTAATTATTCGACTCATCTCCATTTGAGTTTTACGCAGAAACATCCACTTACCAGGCTATCATTGTTATTTACTATTATTGTATTATATTTTATTGAATTGCGGGATTTAAAGATATTCTAATATGCATTTAGTAAAAGAAGGAGTCAATTAATTTTTTTTCATTTTGTCAATTGATCAAATTAAAAAATGAGATGAAGTGAACATACCGACACATGATCTATTGGGTTGACCAAGAAAAATGTGAATGCCTTTTTCGTATATTGAATATTTTACACGAGTGATTCAAAGGAGAAGAATAATTTTGTGTTTTTCTTGTTTTACTAATGATATTATTAGCATTATTTTCTTGTTTTACTAATGATATTATTAGCATTATTTTATTGTATATTGTAGTCATATTATCGGTAAGTAAACGAGAATAGATGAGAAAAAAAGTATAAAAGCAATCCTTTCTAATCAAGATAGAAACATGTAGCAAGTACACGAGTATTTTGTAGTTATTATGAATTTGAATTTGTAAGTAAAATCAATTATTTTATAAATCATTGAAATGCTTCCAATTAATCGAAATTATTATATTTTTTAGTTTCCAAAGTTGTCGCAATTCATTCCTTTTTTTATAATTCCAACTAACACGACACAAAACGCTCTTTTTGTTTTTTTAATGATTAACTTGGTTTAATTGACAAACTCAATTACCCTTAAAATATCGCATATATTCATTCATTCTTTCATTAAAAACCATCAATTAAATTATAATGACGCTGCTCAAAGAGCAATATTAACAGTCGTCTTTATTTGTAAATGAGCGATTTCGAACAAATCGTAAGTGCATAAAATAAATATTCGGTATTTTTTGCGTTTTGCTATTTGGTGTTATTATTAAAAAATATGCTTAAAAAAGTAACTAATAATTACTAATATTTCTAAATATTTTTTCTTTTAAGAGAATTGACAATTTTTTTTTAAAAAAAATGTAAGTCAAAAGTTTTTTATTTTTTTTTATTTTTTAATTTTTTTATTTTTTATTTTTTTACCTTTTTTAAATTTTTTATTTTTTTACCTTTTTTTAAAAAAATAGATTATTGAAAATCGACAACGATAAAGAATAATTACGATAAAAAAAGAATATTCCAGCCAATTCTATTTCCTTTATGAGGAGCAACCCTGACCTCGTTGAAGTGTTTGTGCTCGAGACTTCGTAGAAATATGCTGTGCGAACATTTTATCTAGAATTCGCCGTTTCCAAAATCAACATTGGTGACACAACAAATGACAAAAGAAGGAGACTCTTTTCAATAAATTCTTTTTTTGTCCTTATTGCGTCACTGCTTCGCACAAGCTCGTATTTTATTTCAAAATTTCTTTCTACGAGAATCGAATGTTTACCATCGCGTAACACTTCCTTACGCTGCTCTGTTCGAAATTTAACATTCTCCCCTGCAAATAAATTGATACTGTGATTTTTGCCATCATCGTCATTAAGAATATTGTTGTTTCTGCTGTTGTTATTTATAATAAAAATTTTCTTTCTTACTACTAAAAAGAGTTTGGTTTTTCTGCTTACGCGTATGGAATGACGATTACGTTGACAATTGAGCATTATTTCACCAGTCTCTTCATTCAATCCTGTCACT